AGCTTTTTGTTTCAGGCTAAAATGTTGTAGTTTATTCATGGAGTTACCCAGAGTGCAAAAATGGGCTGAAAGATTGGAAGCAGTTGCTAGGAATCAGCAACAGTTTAGAGCTGTCGTAGCTTTCACTGGTTTAACTTCCTTATTTTGTAAAAAGAACAGGAATAATGGTATAGTGAAAAACTGTGGTTGCTTAATTCCTTAAGGTCCCTTAAGTACTCTAAGATGAAGAGCATTTTAAAAGAGTATGCTTTATTGAAACAATGTCATGATAATCTTATTTTGTGATTTCTTAGTATAAGCAGGTTTTCATTTCTTCCCTCATTATGAGTAATTTGACCCTTATTTTGTAAAAAGAACAGGAATAATGGTATAGTGAAAAACTGTGGTTGCTTAATTCCTTAAGGTCCCTTAAGTACTCTAAGATGAAGAGCATTTTAAAAGAGTATGCTTTATTGAAACAATGTCATGATAATCTTATTTTGTGATTTCTTAGTATAAGCAGGTTTTCATTTCTTCCCTCATTATGAGTAATTTGACAGGTGATGCTTTTATTGGCAAGCTATCTTTCAAATACTTGGAACTATTCTATCTATTCTGTAGTGACCCAAAGTTAGTCTGTCAGCAGATCAAAGCTTTGACGGGTGAAGAGGGGTTTGTAGGTACCTGTCTATCCAGTTTTATTCTCTGGGTGTGATGGTGGGAAATCCTTTCTCAAATATGTGAGTTTGCAATGTTTCTTACTCCTCAGTACAAGTAACTAAGGTAGGACACACATTTTAGCTTAGAATGTGTCGATCTCCCTGCTTCTGGTTCAAGTAAAGAGGATGCTCATCCAAAACTTTTCTCAGTTTCAAATGGTTACTTTTTTGATTCATGCAACTGGGATTTATTTCTTAACATCTGATGTTCCCTGTTGTTCAGGTGGCAAGATGCAGCACTCAATAAATTGTTTCTGTAGTTGAGACTGGTTTGCGTGCAAGCACAAAAAGCTTGAGTACTGCCCTAGAAGATGTGGCAGATATGCAGGTGCAGCAAAAAGTGAGGCCTTGTTACAGTGGGGGCTGCTTTTCACATAAAGATTTTGTTGCCTAGTGAAAGGAGAGGATCCCTCTTCAGTGGGTTTTTTTCCCTCACTGCTTTTATGCAAGTGCATGCGAGCACACATCAAAGGTGTGGCAGATGTTTTATTTTGAAAACAGGAATTAAATTTTTCAGTAAGACAAGATGCAGGAGGGGAGACTTTTGAAGAAAACTTCATTTTTCGCAGTTTTCTCCCCTCATTTGGGTTGTAAAGTAATCTTAGCTATATTTTCATAGGTAGAAAATGGAAACTGTATTATCATCATTCTTAAAAAACCCTCTTCCAAATATCAAAAGAGCTGCTGCTGAAAACCTGCATTCACATGCGTTCTGCCAGCAGACAAGTATAATGTAACAAAAGCCCAGCATAGCCTTTGCTCTCTGCTGATTGAAGCTACTAAGTCTTTTGTGGGTTCAGCCTTGGCCTGCTGCTATTGCCTTAATGCTACTAGACTGGTTGCTTTTCTGAATGTACATTTGTACTGTTTGTGTGTTTAAATCTCTACAGGCATCTTAGCTTATTTTGGGTGTTTGTTTCCAACCAGGTGACTTTTAACCAAGGTATAACCAACCTGGATCTGTATGGGCTTCTTTGAGAATTTTTAATTTCATTCAAGATGATTTACCATAAATTAACTGTCTGAGATTATCAGCCAGACACTCAGAACTTGAATTTTTGTCCCATTACACTGCTCCAGCCTGGTGCCTGCCTTTCATATCTCTCCCCCCTGCCCCAGGTGTCAGGACCCTACTATTCCAGTAGGGGTAACAATTTGATGAAATGAATGATGGTTCTGCAGCATTACTGTCTCTGTATTCTAATGCTATTATATCACTTAAGTCTGAAGTTGTGCCTTTATGCTTTTCAGAGCAACCCTCCTGTCTGCCTCTCCTTGCCTCCCACCCAAAAAAAGACCCCAAAGCAAAGGCAGTGACATCCCCTACTGAGGAAGTATTTTGTGCAGTCACAGGGGAAGTGAAGACAATGTCAGCTGTCAAATCTTATGACAGCTATGTGATTCTTGTAGGAAAGGAATTTAAAAGAAAACTCAAGTCATGGGACAATCTGTTGCTTATTTGTGTCAATAGCAACCCTTGGAATATGGGAATAAACTGATAAGTTTTTTTCCAATAGTGCAAATATTTCTGGTACTGTGCCAGATTTCAAAGAACTTGATAACAGTGCTGTCTCATGAACTGCAAATACTAATTTTTCTGTAGTGCCACAGCTCTGAGGGCCTGGAGCAGGTCTATGGACTTCACGAGAAATTTCCCTTTTCGCTGTGAATGGTTGTGTCCAAAACCTGCTGGAGTGACCAGTGGTTCCATCTAGCTAGCTCTGCTCTTCTGTCTTTCTCTCCTTCAAAAAAAAGACACTGTCTCCTGGAGTCTTGCGATAAAGCTGTTTGTTCTTACACTTATGCCTGACTATTTTTTCCTCTCATGTTAGGCACATTACAAAACAAACCCCCGCTGACATGAAAATCATAAACAGAATCCTGGTCAGGTTTTCTCCAGAGCTGTCCTTTGCAGTAGCCGTTCCCTCTATGCTGAGTACCAAGAGGCTCTAGGAGAAGCATGCAACTCATTTGTGAGTCCCTTTGGTTCAAGGGCTTGTAAGGTCACAGAGAGAAGTGTTTGAAAACTGAAGCATCTGTGTTCTGACCTCTCTTTTCTTATTGTTTAATGGTCCTACTTGTGTCTTAGCGGTATTGGTGGGAACATCAACTTAAACTGTGAGATGTTGTGGTCACTGTGCAAAGTATGAAGTGGCCCATGTATCAAAAGTACTGAACTGTGTCAGTTGCCAGCGAGTGGGGCGCAGCATCCTAAAACATGCAGGTAAAGCATTTACCTGCCGAAGTTCAGAATAGGTTCCTCTGCTTTGCTTTGGTTTTGGCAGGAGTATGGTAGAATGAGTTTGCTGGCTCTCCCTAAACACTTTCTTGTATAGCTTGTATGAGAGAAGCAAAAAGCTGCCTTAGAAATATCTTGAATACTGAAAACACTCTCATTCTTCTAATTAATGCATAAACCTGGTCTCTTACGTGATAGCACTCTATCTGGTAGTTAAAAAGAAAAAAAAAAACCAAAACCAAAAAAAACCCCAGCATCTTTGTTTACTACTTGACTATTTTCTGTTCATCCTTTCATCAGGGTAAAATCGTGTGTTTTGTTTTATACAGGAGTAATTACCTGGTGCGGGGGTTGGGGAGGGAAATGTATATTTTAAGGCTATTCTGTAGTTTTGCTTAATGGCCATTGGGAGTACAGATGTCTTCTGGTCCCTAATCAAAAACACTTGTCGGGAGGACACCTAGTGGACAATTGCTGAGGTGTAGGGAGGGTCACTAAAAGATTGTCACAATCTGCAGATACTTGGGAGGGGGAAACACGGTGGGCATGTGCATATTGTATAGAAATGTCTTCCTCCTGAAGGCAAGACCTGTGCGTAAAGTCTTCAGGAAAGCCCGAGACTTCCCAGGCTCATCTTATAAAGAGAAGTGGGTGACTCTCTGGTTTCTCTGTCACTGTAAACATGTCACAGCTACAGATCACTGCTGTCCAAAGCCAGCAAAAGTGTTGTGTTTATTCTTGAATCACTTCAGTCAATTTCATCATTTGATCGTTTTACAGTTACAAAAAGAATTATAATCTTCAGATAACACTTCTAGAATATTCAGGCTTTTCTCTCTGACTGCAGCTAAGGATGTTTGCTGGCCAAAGTTCCCACCACCACGGGAGAGGTGGTGTTCATCCTGAGGCTGACAGTTTAGGAAAGGAGCTCTGGAAGGGACAAAAATGTGGAGTGGTGGGGAGATAGGAGGTCATCTAAGCTTTTTGTCTCAACAAGAGTTGGTTTGTGTTTTGCCTTTGAGGCTGAGTGGGGTGGTAAGAGCAGACATGCAAAGAAAGGGGCATTCAGAGAACTGTATACAGCTTTACCTGGGGTTTCTCTGTGTTATACTAATGAGCTTCCATCCCTGAATACCCTTCTTTCTTTGCTTGGCTGTTCCTGTTCCCATCCCCTCCTCTGCCCTCTACTTTCAGTGTATGCTTCCCTTCCCTTCCTTTACATAATCCCTGTGTAGCCTTTCTGTTTCTTTTGTCTTCTCTCCCCAGTGTGGAAAGGATATCACCTTTGCTACTCAGTTTTTGTTTTCTTGTATCCTTCCCCATAGTCCTTATCTTTTGTTTTGTTTGTTGCAAGTTCTTGAAGGTCCCCTATTTGTCCACCCAACACCTAGCATGGTGAAGCCTTGCTTTTTGGTCTTTAAATGCTCCTGTAATAAATACAGCCTACAGTAGGAATTTTCTGTCTTGCATCTGTATTCATCAATGAGAGCTTGCTGCTGTAATTTCTTTGCTAGTCAAGCTGTGATTTGCTCCAGGACACTTACTGTTTCTCACTTATAAATTTTTATTCAGCTTTGAATGTGAATGCTGTCTCTGTGAATAGTTGCTATAAAGTTAACGAAAAACAACCAAGAAGTGAGAAGGAAGATACAGGGGAAGAAAAGTGTCCAGTTGTTTTCTTGAGGCTTGATTTCAGTTAAACAACCAAACAAACCCAACACAACACACCTGTTCAAGCAGGCCTTATTGAAAGAGCTGAGACTAGTAGGCAGTGTATTTTCCCCTCGTACCATAGTTGTTCTGGTTTAAACACCCTGTTTCACTGCCTTGCTGCCTGCTGATTTTATTAGTTATGTAGTGACTGGCATGCTCTTGCAACTTTTGTTTCCTGCTTAGTGACTTGCAGAGGAAGACTGGAGCTGCCACTGCCAACAGTTACAGATGGCTGGAAAAAGAAATGTGCATTCTGAACTTCTTGTAACTCATTTCAAGGCTTTTTTTCCTCACTCACTCTGATTTTTAATAATAAAATAATCATCACTGTCTCTCTCTTTATTTTGTAGTTTTGCCAATTTGAGAATTCACCCTCATGGATTAGTGTTGGTGGATCTGCAAAGCTACAATGATCATACGAAAGGAAGAGAGGAAGTTGATCAGGTATGAGCGAGGCTTATCTTATTAGGCTTATCAAACTGCATGGGGAGCCCCTTTTCTTCAGGTCTGTCAAAGTATATCTTGGTAAAAGATTTTTAAATATCAAAGTTTGAACCCAAATGCTTACAGATGAGGAGTAGTAACACCCATTGTAGTTGCATAAACGTATGAGTGCGCATGCACACACGCTCTTTTGCATGTCCTGGGCCTCATGTTCTTTGCTGTAAAAGTTGTAAAGACATAGCAGCCTTGGTTAGGGCTCAGGTCTCTTCAGGCACCCAGGGCAGTGAGGGAGAAGTGATGCTCAACCCGCAACCTGGTGTATTAGTATATGACTTTTTTCCTTCTCTGATCTGAGAGATGGGGAGCCTCTGTACTCAAACTTCTTCCCCACGGAGAAAAATAATTTCAGCTTCCCCGATACGAAGGCTCCAGAAATCGGATACTGCAGAGGAATAGGCCACTGCTTTGGCGGGAATGAAACCTTACAGGGTTCTCATGTTCCCTCTTTGGCTGTGCCTGAAAGGTCTGGCTATGTTGTCCTGGAGGAGAGCTAAACACAGGGATGACAGCTGCTACAATATGCACATTCTTGCTAGTAATGAGGCTAAGGCAACCAGCTAGTTACTCATAGGCTTCTAATGTTACATTTCAAAGCCTTTCAGTGCAGGTGCTACTTTTTATTGCCTTCTAAGTAGCCTAATTTAACAGATATTTTACATTAAGTGATTGCCTATAAATTCCACCTCTTGTTTGCTGTTTTTTCAGCTTCTAAACAAAGTAGAAGAAAGAATGAAAGAATTGTTTCATGGTAATATAAAAAGGGTGAAACGGTAAGTTTGTACCTCTGCTTCTGTATGTGGCTTGTCTGCATAGCTGCTGAAGATAAACAGCAAAGCATAATTTGCTTAACTGCGATGAATAGCCTGGAGTATGAATTTATGCATGTGTCTTCCCCCAATATTTTAAAACTGTTTTATTGCAGAATTGAAGGTACTGTGAGGTTTGTCGTTTTGTTAAGCTTCATCTTCCATATTGTTACTTTAAGCAAGGATTATTTCTTCAATTTGCTGCAATGGTTGCATGAAATGGTGGGAGAAAATGCAACCAGGAAGCAAGAGCAGACTGCTCTGGAAGGGATGGGGAGCCAAGGGTGGCAGGGGGATCGGCCAGGGCTTGGCCCTGTACCCTTCGGACCACATCGCACAGCTTGTGGACAAGGTGAGCCGGGCTGGTGATGGTGACCAGGGTCAGCCCCAGCCCTGTGACTGCCAGGCTGGGCTGTAGTACTGAGGCAGCTCCAAGACAAAGCTAGGTGTCAAGGATCAGCGAAAGACTTGGGCCGGCGTGGGCAGAGCTACTGTGTAGCTTGGACAGGGACCAGGGACGAGGGCTGGAGCTAAAATGAAGCTCAAGCCTGTGGAGGAGGCCTTGCCCTGATAAGGTTTGCTGCAACTCTTTCTCTCACAGCTCTGCCTCTGCTGTACCTCGTGGCGCTGGCCTTGGGCACATGTGGCAAAAACCCCAGGGGAACCTGCGTGCTTAGGGCCCTGCCAAGAAGATAGAAATGTTTTTAGCAAATTTTTTTAATATAACTGCAAGCCTTCTGTCACTTTGGTTTACTTAAATACAAGGTTATATATTAAACTGTAGGGATGCTAATTGTGGTTTGTTCCCTGCTGCTGAAACAGCATGCGTGCTGGAGTTCCCCAGGGGTCTGGAAGGACACAGCTTGTTGGTGTCTCCCTGGTGGCTGTCTGGCAGCGACTGGCACCTCAGAACCAGGGAGCACTTACTGCAGGTATGCACTTGCTGGAAGGTGCAGCAGGTGCTTTAAAGAACGTGGAAGTGGAAATGGTTTAAGAAAAGTAAAAAGCAGTGTAAAACCAAGAAGATTCGGTAAAGCCAAGGAGCAAACTACAAAATGGGAAAACAGCCAAACAGTACTATAGCAGAAAGTAATCTGAAGGCTATACGAGAGCACAAGTAAAGTGGTAATGATCTGAAAAGTGATGTTATACCTTGAACATTGTTTTTTTGTGTTTAACAGTTGTATGCAAAACAGAGAGGTAGTTATCTTGCTTTACTTCATCTTGGTAAAGCTTCACCTGCTGCACAGCATGCAAGTGTAGATCATCTTGTGTACGTGTATATGGGGGAGAAGCTCTCTCTGAGGATATTTTAATACTGAAATACGATATTGGGAGTTTGTGGAATCCCTATGATAGGAACTTGTTAAAAATGGGTCAGGAAAAAGTCTCCCTGAAGTGGTGTAGATTAATTTGGTGACCTTAGTATAGGAAGATGAACCTCCTAGAACAGTGGATCTGGCATGGATCTTGTCACACACCCCTCAACTTTTTTTTTTGTAAATTTGTTTTGCATCCTTCTGGTGTTAGCTTCACACATGCAGCTCCACTAGAATTAATGCTGCTGGAAAAGTTGTTCCTGCCTTTTTGTTGTCTTGACGTAGTGAATAGATGCTCTTGCTCTCACTGTGTGCTGCCATCTTGCGGCTCACTGAGGGTAGAAAGTATTTCTGAAATGTTTACTGAGAATCACTAATGCATTTAAAAGAAGCTTATCTATGTCTGGTCTTCTGCTGTTCTCTCCTCTGGAAAAAAAACCTTAACTCTGAAGTGTGTGTGGGAAATCTGATGAACTGTGCGCCTGCACATTTTGCTTAAAGTGGAAAGCCATCATTTTAATCATTCACTGCCATTTCAAATATAGTTTGTCTTTACAGGTGAAATACTGATTTGAACCAAGATACTTCTATATGGAATTAAAAAAAAATCAAAAAACAGCAAACCTAAATCTATGCAGATGCTCAAACCACTTTTTAAAAGTAATGCAAACTGTCAACTGATATCAAGGATTATGCTTATGTACTGCAGGGTGACCTGGCTCAGTCCAAAACACTATAATAGTTCACTTCTTGTGTATGTATTTAAAATGTCTCTCAGTACAACTTTAGAAGGGTGAGATCCACTAATATCAAAGAAATGGCATTCTTAGCTGAGCTGAAGGTGCGAAGAGGTTTTGTCTCATTTTTTTTGTCTGCATTCTGCTTTTGTATTGTATCCACTTCTAGTCATGAGCCGCTTCTTCTGCAGAGGCTGCTATGTTATGTAAATCCCCTCTATTAGGGTAGAGAGATTCATGTGCACATTGTAGAAGTTGTACATAAAGAACAACTATTTATATTTCATAACTTGCTAAGGCATAGATATATATTTAACATATGGCTGATGGGTTTCTTATATCTGAGTGTTAAATCTTGCAAGTTTTCTTAGGTCCCTCTTGTAAATATTATTTATTTATTATGGTGAATCCACAGGATGTTTAGAGGTAACTTTATTTTTTTAAATTCTCAAATGTTTTGTAATCTTTTTCTTATTATTTCTTTCTAGATTGCCAGCCATTTTGAGAGGAGGTGTCATTGATAGATACTGGCCCACAGCTGATGGGCGCCTGGTGGAGTATGACATAGATGAAGTTGTTTATGATGAAGATTCACCTTTTCAGAATATTAAAATTCTGCATTCAAAACAGTTTGGGAATATTCTTATCCTCAGTGGGGATGTTAGTAAGTATCGTGTCACTTGAGCATCTTTTGCATGAAATTGTAGGAAGTGTTGTTTTCTATCTTGCTATGGCACATTTTTAATAGATTACTAAGGGTCATGGTTCTGATGCTGGAAGCTACATATATGCATGTACACATATATGTTCCTGTATATAAAGTATTTTAATCAGAAAGGCTGACCAATGTAGAACCTAGAGTACAAAAAAAGATTTCTTCTTTTCCAAAGTTGTCATCTTTGCTGTGGAAGGTGGCACAGGAGAACAGAAGTCAGCATTCTCTAGCAGAGCTTACTCTACTCCTTTCTTTCATGTGAGCTTTTACCTGTTTGTTGCAAGTCCAACCTCTTGAGGGCTTCTCTTTGACAGTAAAACAAGCTACTTTGTCAGTCTTGAAAACGCAGCGGAATTCTAAAGAAATATGAAGAAGTAGGAGCTGGTGGGTGTGTGGGGATAATCCTGCTGCTCTGTTGGATTTACCTGCTTGGTGACATACAGGACAGCTGTATCTTAAACCATTTAGCTGCTTTGTTTGTGAACATCTTTTGACTCTGTCTTCAAAATGCTCAGCTGAACTCTAAGTTATCAGAAGTGACCCAACCTTTACGGGAGGGTCTTTATATGTGGTACTCTGTGCCTGCTGAGCTTTGTATTTTTGAAAGTTAGGAGAAGATGGGCTACTGTTCTTTTAAGCTGGATAAGAATGCTGTTTGCTAGAAAACCTAGGCATCAAGGAGTATGCTTTGTAAAATGTCTGAGTACATATGTTGAAAAGTACTGACTGAGGTAAATGAGGGATGTTGCTGTCTAGGGATAGAATACAATTTCAGTCTAATGGCAGAGTAATTAAGAAATTTGACTATAACTTTTTGGAATCACCAGAAATACCTCTAACCGTTCAGTTAGCTTTTTGCAACTGTCAGGGGGACTTCTGTGCAGATGGCACTGAAAAGTGTTGTTATTGAATTCATTAGCAAGGTATTTTCTAATTCAGTTAGAATTGTATTTGAGATCACCGAATTAGGTATTCCATACTTCTAGCCAGACATTTTGATCGGAGTTTCATATGGAGATGAGGTTTTGTTTGAACGTTGTCACAATGTGCCTCAGAAAGGGAAGTGTGCCATTACTTACTTACCTTCCATGGGATTTTAAAATACTACCTTGTCATTTCATTATTGTGCACTTATAAGTGAGGTGCTGATTGCCAGGCAGGATGATGGGAGATGCCATGATGTGCTGCTGCACAAAGCTTTGCCCTTGTAGCTCAGATCCATTATTACAGCTTAAGAATGTTATTGCCTGCTTTGAAGCTAATGGTGAACAAGTCAGCAGAAGGCATGCTTCAGGGCCCTTCAGCAGTTAGGTGTTAACGTTCATACTTACGCTTCTGTGCAGGGATCCACTGGGGTGCATCTAGGTTGCTCTTTTTAGTTGGGGTCCAGGGTATGCTTTCAAAAATCTCCTGATTTGTCTCTTGCAGCGCTAGTCTGAGGTAAAAACCCACTGAAGAATCAAGTGTGGATGTGAAGTCCTAAGTACTGACAGTTTTGCTCTATAACTTTGCTTCTCTTGGTATGCAGTACTTCCTAATGCTGAGGTAACCATTGTTGGGTTTGTATTGAGAAACAGAGAAATCCTGTGTGGGATTCTGAGGAGGATCTTGTTAGCTTTTGGTAAATCACCAGCCTGCTGTTACCTGGACTGTCTCTGAGAGCTAGGTTGCTTCTGTACATGCTCTTGCTTTGGTCTGCATTATATCACCTTTGGATTAATAACAAATTAATACCAATCAATGAGAAGAATAAAGGTGTAATGTTTCTGTCTAACTCTTTCTCTTCCTTCCATTCAGATCTGGCAGAGAGTGACCTGGCATATACTCAAGCCATAATGGGCAGCGGAAAGGAAGACTACACAGGGAAAGAAGTGCTAATCCTAGGAGGTGGTGATGGAGGTATACTATATGAGATAGTCAAACTGAAGCCAAAGATGGTTACTATGGTAGAGATATCCTTTGACAAATGACTGATCATTCGTTTCAACATTTTTCAGCCTGCATTTTCTGCTGATGTTTTAGCATTGAGCGCTATTAACTATCAGGTTCTGATTTGCGTGAGGAGATAGGGTCTAAAATTTCTTTTTGTTGGCTTAGAGAGACCTAGCGACAACATATTTGTGCATCATTATGTAGCACGTGCTTTCAAGTTTCCAATCCGTACTATAACTCTTGAGCAGCGATTTACATAGAACTGGAAAGGAACGCTTCTGTCATCAGACTGATACCTTCTCTGATAACAGACGACAGGTCTGTCAAGTCTGTGGTTTGGGCTGAGTTCTGCCTTCTCGGGTTCTTCTGTTTTTCTAAAGAAAGCTGTAAACGATAACTCCTAGAAGCAAAAAAAGTTTAATCAATAGGAATGTCATGACTTGAATTGTGTTGGTGGCAGTATGACCAACTCTTGCCATGTCTTAAAAATACTGATACAAATAGTTTTCAACATTCTGTAGTTCAAATAGTTTGTAATGTAAACCACTGATAGCCATGTGAAATGTTGATCATCCTAGGTTTTGGGATCCCCTTGCTAAAAACTAAAAATAATTGTTTTAAAAATGTAGCTTAAAGTCTTAACCTAGTTTAGCTTTATGGGGTTTTAAAATACACTATCCTATTGTTCACATTTCAAGCTTTCACAGTAATGATAACCTAAGGTACCAGAAATACTGGTTAAAACCAAAAATAAGGACTTCCTAAACCTCTAACTGAATCTGGAGATGATTGTGTAAAATTGGCTGTTACAATATGTATACCAAGATACACATGTTACTATTCCTCTGAATGTCACCTTTTTGAGAATTTCTTTCTGAAGAAATAGAAACTGTTACCTGTATTATTTCTGGAATGTAGAATGCCTTAACCAGCTTCAAACATTGACCAAATGGTGATTGACGGGTGTAAAAAATACATGCGTAAAACATGCGGAGATGTCTTAGACAATCTGGAAGGAGAGTGCTATCAGGTAATGTTTTGTTTTTCTTTCATTAGATGTAGTATTTCAAATATGGTTATATATAGCCTGGAAGACTGCTATGACAAAGTTTTGGGGAAAAGTCTTCTGATTTTTCTTAATTTTGGGAAGGATTTTTCCTTTTTTATGACACTTCTAAAATTTAATAGCTGGCAGTGGGATTTGTGTTAGAAGCGTACATTAGTGTCAATATTTTAACTCTGCATCTTCAAACTCTTTTAAAAATAATTCCATATAGTTTTTAAGGAATGTGAAATAGGAGAATGTTTATTGCCATAGCTTACAAATAAAGAGGAAATAGCAGTAAGGATGCAGTGTTAAACATCATTCCTGAAATTGATGAAAGGATAGAAGAAACATGTATTTAAGTTAGTTGTCCTGTACTGTTGAGAATATCTGAATTTGTAATACACATTTTAAAACTATTTTTAATTTGCAGGCAAAATATCTTACCATTATAGCGTATATTAAAAATTAAAAAAAAAAAAAAAAAAATTCATGCATCCCTGTAGTTAAACTCTTTATGTGCTGCATCTGACAGAGCTTCCAAACTAGCCCAGGTGTAATCTGACATCTTCACTGGAAATCTTTTCTTTCTGTTTTCATTACTGCTCCTTAAGGTGCTCTCACATACTAGTTTACAGATATGAGGTAAAAAAAGCATGCAAAAAATTAACAGAGAAGTCACATGCTACTTTGCATGAGTCAGTGGCCCTTCATACAAATACCTTATTTTACTCGTATGTTGGGGGACTGCTAAACTTGTTACCATTTGGTAGGTAGAATAGTGGTCACCCAGCAATTGGTGACAGAGCTAGGTTATTCAGTCCTGTAGTGCCTACGTTGTCATTGTCATAATTCCTACAGCTGTTCCTCCTTTCTATATGATGTAAAAAGTTGAAAATGGAGCCTAAAATTAAATGCATATTTAACTTTGTACTTTTCCCCTCCTCTTAATTCTTGTGAATCTGCATTTGTTCCTTTTATCTGGTCAGTTTTAGGGTTTTTTGAGGACTAGCTACAGTATTTCATTCTTATAGGTTCTAATTGAAGACTGCATTCCTGTACTGAAGAGGTATGCCAAAGAAGGAAGGATGTTTGATTATGTAATTAATGATCTGACAGCTGTGCCAATCTCCACATCTCCAGAAGAAGGTTAATCTTATTTATTTTCCTAAACTTCTGAGGATTTTCCATGTTTCTGCCTCTCCGCTGCATGATAGTTGGCAGTTTGCAACAAAAATACTTTGATTCTTGCACTTTTAATAGCAAATCTGAGAGGCAGAGAATGATGGTAACACATCTGTTCTTCTTGAATTTTTCTTGAATGTTAGAAAAAAATTAGCAAGTGCCTAGGACTTTTTTAAACCGTGCTCTTATTCCGGAATAATATGAACTCATGTAATTCTTGAGAAAGTATTTGGGGAGTTCACACTCCAGTAAATTTTTCCCCACTCTGTAATATCTTGGAAACATCTGGAAAATTACTGTGAAGAAAGAGATATACAATGGCAATGATGGTGGAAGTGTGGGCTGTGTGGGTTTTTCACTGGGGGTTTTTCTTGTTGGTTTGTTGTTTTTATTTTTTTTTAAAGGTATAGGATAGCTACTTTTTAAACAGTAGATATGTTGCAAGTCTTGAATATATAATAGTGAACAAGCCAGTAATGTGCTGTTCTGTTTTTAAATTATACTCTCTATGCAGATTCCACATGGGAATTTCTGCGTTTGATTCTTGACCTCTCAATGAAAGTCCTGAAACAAGATGGAAAATACTTCACACAGGTATGATATTTGGATGTAAAAAAGTATTGCTGTATATGTATTGCAATCTGCATTTTTCAGGTAAAAAAAAAGGGAAGGGGACAAAAGGAAACCAACTAACTAAAAATCTACTAGCAAGCTGGTTTTCTCCTTTTAACAACTCATTAGGGCTATTTGCATGAAATTTGGGCTTTGCTAACTGACTTGTGTTTTCTTCATTGTTTCAGCTGAATCTGTAGTGCTTGTGTCTTTGAATTTAAAAGCATAATTTCAAGAATCAACTAGGCATACTACAGCATATTTTAGCTGTAAGCAATTCTTGGAAAAGCAGAACAGATGTACTTTATAAACAGATACATGGTTTTTAAGCTAATGTCTCCAGTTGTAGAGTGTAAGACATGAAAATTTGTCATCTGTAAAGGTGTAAGAATTTGACATAGGTGCAATGGGATGAGAAAATTAGTCATTTGGGGGTAAATACTCTCTTTTTGCTTGCTATCCACTCCTAATGCAAGTTACTGGTTTGGCTTCTGCAAAATAGATTTTGAAAATTTGGATATGTTTGTTACTTCGCAAAATGCCAAGCGTTGTATTTTATAAAGTCATAAATAAGATTCTGCCCTTGTGTGTGAAGTTTTTAATGCAGCTCTAGTTAAAAATAAATAACTTTAGATTTGTATACTTGCTACAGTATAGCCACCTCATGGATAATGTAATTGTGGTATAGCTTACATCTGAAGATCCTTTCTGTATGTAATCCTGAACTCAGAATGCCACAAAGCTGTGTGCAATTGTACAAAAATGTGACAAGACCCAGCAGACGGTTGAGGAATGCCATTGTACAAAATGTGACAAGACCCAGCAGACGGTTGAATGAAGTATTAAGTCTCCGAAGTTGTATTTCTTTTGTCAGGCCCAGAACTTAACTAGTCTTCTGATGTGTGGAGCATCTAAGTACAGCATTTTGAAATAACCTTGTTAAACTCTGAAATAACCTAGCTAAAATTATGTATTTGAACTCTGTTCCTATCAGTGTAGAGTTTTTGAGGTATGTAAAGGAACTGATTTACTGTAAAATTAGACAGGTTTGTAAAGAAATGCAAAACTCATGGAATGAGGTTTTTGGCAACTTTAATGTGCTGCTTTATTTTAAAATGCTATGGTTGTATGGGCAAGATAAATTATCTTGTGGTTGAAATGTAAGATATGACTAATATGCTTGTATCGCACTGTAAATCTTAATGGCTTTTCTATTCTGTTAATAGTGGAAATATTTATGACAGACTTTGATATTGAAAGGACACTACATCTTTTGGACAGAGCTAGCATTTGTGTTGCAGTTGTCATAGTTGTAACATACATAGTGAGACTAGCTGACTTCATTAGAATGTATGTAAATGTATGTCTGTGGACAGGTATCTGTCAGACTTTGCAGAAGGACTCTGGGAAGAAGCTTGTGCTGAAAGCTGGAGTGATGGCTGTGCTGCAGCCAGGGTACAGGGAGGTTGTTCTGTGTCAGCTGAAACCAATGGAGGTAGAGACTGCAGTCTCAACAGTTTGCAGTCCTGCTGCCTGTCCTCTTCTGATGGGAGGAGATAACTCAGCTAGCTGTCCAGCATCTCTGCTTGCACAGGAAGAAAGGACAGCAGTACTGAACTGGCCCTGGTGGGTTTAAGCCATTGTGAAACTGTGCAATATCAGTTTCACAATCCCAAAGCAACAAGGTGGGACATGGCAGGATGAGAAAGAAACGATACTAAAATTGAAGTTGCTTGAATTTGGATTTTTGCCTAACTGGTAGCCAGTGGAAGGGCTGAAGTATAGAAGCAGTGTAGTCTGGCAACTTAGTCTTCCGGAGGGTGTTGACAAAAGGAAAATTAATATTGGGGCAAACAGCTATCAGAGCTTTTGATCTATCTACTGATACATTACCCAGTCCATTTGATGGTCCTTGTAGCCTCTTCCCAGATTGGGCCTGATTTAAAAACAAAAACAAACAGAAAAACCCTCAGAAAGCTCAGTAGTCTGATCATAGGAAGAACAGACTTTTAGGGGTGCTTTAAATAAAATCAACTGTCTATAACTTTCTTTAAATTAGGTTTTGAATTAAACTAATTGAAGCTGGGTATCCAAAGGATTGGGTTAGTCTATGGACAGAAGTTCAAACATGACCCCTACTGACTTTGGTAGCTGAACTTAGTCACACACTGGGAACTCATAACTGGTTTTGAATGCTCTGATGTGTTAACTGTTAAATGCCAGGGTTTTTTAGCTCTGTGTATTAACATTGGAAATTTAAGTTACTTTGTTCCAACTATCTACTTCCAGGATGCTTATCTTGGGTAACAGGCTGTACTTTACTTGCTGAAGCAATCACATGCCTTTTTAAGGCAGTTGTGTTTTTAAAATCCACATTTTAAAATTGAGTGCCCCTCCACCCCCAGGGTTTCTTGAAGTGCATTTTGGTTCTCTAAAACATAAAATATGTTAAATATCATCAAGAAAAGTGACTGGGGAATGTCCACCTATTTGTTAGAGCCTGACCTTCGCTATGATGAGGAAATGTCTCATAGGAAAGGTGCTGCAAAAGGGTCATTGTCCTGTTGGCTACTGGTCAGTAGCTATAGTCGCTGCTTCTGCCTTGGCATTATGTTGTACTAATGTTTGAAACTTCTGTCCTCTGTAGTTTGTAGCCTGTCCTCTGATAGTTCTGCTTGCAGAGGTTACCTTGTGCATCTTGTTAGAATGTAATTTATTTCAATGCTCAAGAAATGCTTTACCCAACAGTAGATTTCTGTTCACAGAATGCCAGCCTTTCACATACTGTATTGCTGCCTGACCCTCTAAATGCCACTGCTGGGAAAAAACAAATGGAAATGCTCATCACCTCTTCATTGAGCTCTGCACAAGTTTTGGGAAATGTTCTCTTCAGCATAGGAGCTGTCAGCAGGCAGGGTCTAGAGCTGTCTAGCTCTAGATATATTGATCTAAAATATAGATATACTCTATTTGAGATCATCAAAAGAATTATTTTTTTGGCATGCTACTCTAACACACCTGGGTGTCCCCTTGGGATGCCATGGTGATCCTCAAAGCAGTCTCCAAATGCTAATGCAGAATATCCTTTCACCACTAGGTGGAGACTGATAACTAATATTGCCTAGCAGTTTAACATTATAGAGAGATTCTGCCTGTGAAAGGTTTTTCAGACTATTTATTTGTATTCCTAGGGGATGCAAGAACATAAGTGGCCAATTTTAGGAGGAAGGAGGGACTTTTTGCTTGTTTCAGCTCTGGAAAGATAGAAAGGGCAGTTAATGGATCTCATTCTCTGCTGCTGTAAGTCTGTGCTCAAGTGTATCAGGGAGAAAAACGCCTCCATACTTGCTCTATGCATCCACAAATAGTAATCACAATGAGAACAAAAACTTACTTGTACGAGTAGTAGCCTTGCTTTTCATGTCCTTGCTTTTTTAGGTGCATCATCCATATTGAAAGCCTTGCAGCCTACATAGGTCCTGGACAGATAGAGGTGAGCTTTAGGGCCCTTAGCCTGCAGAACTTGCAGCCCTGTCTGTAAGTTTAAGACTTGAGGCTTGTTTGTGAAAACTTATTGTTGAACATAATCCCACTACTCTGATGCTTAAGGGTCATACAGCTTGCTGTATTTCTGTTGTTCTTTCTCCTTCTGAAGCTGGTGCTTTGAAGTGTGAGGTGCTCAGCATTGCCTTCTCCAAGGGGAGCCAGTTACAGGTGCGGGTTCCCAGCCATCACAGGGGAGAGAAGTGGGAGTCAGTGAGGGTGTAAGAACTTGGCGTATCCTGAGGTCCGGTTTCCTCTCTAATGGACCTTCCCAGTGACTTGTTTCTGAACATGTTAAGTGTTTTTTATGCTGTTGGACCTTCTAAAAGCCAGTATGACTTTTTAGATTGCCCAAGTGATTTTTTTTTGACTTTCGACTGGAGTATGTGTATGTGTAGATGCTAGTGTGATATGTTTGTGTTTTTCTGAACCATCACAATCCTGCGCCTTCCAAGTAGCACGTGAGGATTGTCCCAACAGCTGTGAAACTATGCTCTGTAAGATGCAGAGACTGCTTGTAAGGTTGTCTCTGTGTCAGTGGATTACGTGTAGCTAGGAAAATGCCCTTTTTCTGTGCTAAGAATTTGCTCTGCTGATCTAATCCTTTGAGGTTGAACAGGCTATCATTTTCAGCTTGTTTATGAAGTGGAACCTTTAAAAATACCTCTGAACAGGAATTTGCTCCTTCTTAGTCTGGGTCATCCAGCCCAGGCAGGATAGAACTGTCTCGGATCACTCAGAGGTTTGAGTTCCAACAAGCAGCACTAACTACTGTTGCAAGGGATCAGATGTCTCCCATGCGGACATGTGGCCCTTCACCAAGCTGTCGCTTCCTGGCCGCTCTCTAATACAGCGTGGCCCTGCCCTCTAAATGTCCAGACCACTGTGATGTTGCTCCATAGTTACACTCCTTTTTTTGGCTGCTGTGTGGGTTTTCTAATTAGCACTTCCAAAGAGGGAGCAGGGTTCTCCTTGACTGCAATGTGAAAAGAGGCTGGAAGAACAGATGCATGTCCCTGTGTGAACCTCTGATTTCTTGGCAGTTTAGGAGTCTTTAAGGGACAGACACTTCATTTCCTTGTGTTACTGAGAGTTCGGTTTTAATTGATTGTTTGGCCAGTGGAGATACCTTCAGTCAGCTTTGCCTCCATTATCTCCTTAAAAGCCATCCCTGTCACCCAAAACTCAAACCTAGCTTTGATGCTAGGTGTCTCATGCTCTATGTATCTCGTTGCTTCTTAGTCACTCTGAAGTGAAGAAAGAAAAAAAAAAAACAACCTTGGCCGTGTTCAACTCCAGCACTTGTCATTACAAAATAAAAATAGAAAACCATGTTAAATTAAAAATAAAAATTAAACTTCTCTAGTATACTGTCACAAACAAGGATGTCCAGTAGCAATGACATGTAGGGTAAGACATGTAAGAATGACATGTGTAAGAAATGGGCAAGTACGGAAAGGGACCCTTCCATCTACTTTCAAGTCACTAGCTTACTTTCTAAGGTTGGAGGGAAGCATAGTGGCCTAAATTCAGTCTATAACCAGTTGATGGACACATCCCCTTTATAGGTGGGTAAAGTTAGCTGGAACTTACAGGGTTCATTTAAACAAATTCTTTTTTTCACTACTTATTTTAAGGAATGTTTTTTGTCTGCCCAGAACTGAATTATTTAAACTTGTTGTGCATTGTGCTGTAGAAACCTGAAAACTAAGCCCATGGTACTACAGAATGCATGCCTTATGAAAGCCCAGAAGAATTGGTGTTGGGAGATGGGCATGAGCTGTCGAAGTGTGTGTGAGCACTGAGCAGACTCAGAATGCAAAGGCTATGAAACAGTTCAGGAGTCGTCAGTCTTAAACAAGGTCTTATAAATACAGATCGGTTAATCTCAAAGTTTAAAACTACCTCAAATACTTTCATGTCAGAGAGATGCTTGTTAAAGAGAAACTTTTCAGCATTCCCCCATTTCTTATCTGTCAAACTGTTTGACGTGGAACAAAGATTAAGTAAGGGGGGCTGGGCAGAGGAGTTTGGTAGGGTTTTTGTATATGTTGAAAACTGACTGAACAGTGTGGGAGAAAAGAAAGTCTGATTTTACTTATTTCCCTTCGAAAAAGTATAATTGGTGAGTCATCAGCTTTAACCTTATTAAACACTGTTCAATATTAGTTATTGTTTGAGTTTGGCTGTTCAGAACAAAAAATGTATTGCTCTACCACATAACTGTTTTCATTAGGCAGGGGGAGTTAAAATGACCACAGGTTATTAGACTGATCACTGTATTGCATTCTGGGCTTGGTTCCCTGTGTCACACATCTGTGTGATTGACATCATTATCAACACTGTAGTCTTAATTGATAAAGCTGGACACTTCTTATAGAAAGGTGTTAATAATAGTGATTTTTCAATAACTTTTCTCTTCATTGAAATAAGTTCATCTAAGTTTTGTAGATTTGATTTTTTGAATTCTTAGCTGTTTGTTGAGTAAAGCCAAATAATTACAAAAAAATTGTAACTGTGCAGAACTATAAAATCCTGTGGTGTGTCTCGAGAAGGAGAGGTTAATAGAACAGCCAGGTGGGGATGTCTGAACCTTTAGGTAAGATCTTGATTTGGAGACTGGGGAGTTGTGGGTTTGAAAAGTAAAAATTGCTTATTGGCATGTTTTGTTATTCCTGTAATTTTTCGACGCTGTCTGCAGTGATTTTTCTGTTGCTCGAGAAGGGAGAAAGGATGAAATACTGAAGAGGCAGGCTGGGAAACTGTGGATACTTTTATCTCATTGTGTATCCTATTAAACTTCCTCCGTAATAGTGGTATGCTCCATAAATTACCTAGCTGTGTTTTCTATTTATGACTCAAATTACACACACAGGTTGTTTTTTAGTTTTCTCTTGCATTCAGTCTGATGTTGAAACAAAATTATATGTTTGGTAAAGGGCAGCTGAACCAAATAACTGCTACAGTCCCCCGGATAATAACAGGTTACTAAACAAGTACTACAGTGGTCTGTTCATTGTTGTGCTTTGTGCAGTTGTGTGCTCAGTTAGTGTTCATCTCTTACCTTTTTACAAACCTCTTTCCTTTTCTGATACCCAAACCCAAATATGATATATTCAATATAAAGCATGCCATCTTCTTTTACCAAATCAACAAGTACACGTTTGTTTGTGGAATATGATCAAAATGATAAGCAAAAACATGTTTTATGCAAGTTCTTTTGAAAGAGAGCTTTCAGGAATATGATTTTTAAGATGCGTATAGGATTTTTTAAGTTGAGGTTTTCTTTTCCGCTTGTGAAAACTTGAGCACAATGCAAAAAATTAAGAGGAAGAACAGTAGGATGAAGTCTGTGACTGTAAGAGAGCTATAGGTTTTAATTAGATCTAGCTCTTTTCTTAGTTGAACCATCTGCATTCTTTCAGTCAGATGCAAGTTACCTTATCTAAGGGCAGGAAGGGACAAGATAACCTCATTCAGTAATTGGAAAAAAAAATTATGTGTGCGCGTGCACAAACGTTTCCAGAAGTCATTCAGAGCAGAGTGGTCTCTTTGGAATTCCATAGGTGGAGTCTATTGCTTTAGGCTTTCTTGTTCTTGTCTCTTGCAAAGTTCAGGGCTTTTAAAGATCAAAAGCAGTACTCTGCTTGGAAGTGCTTATGCTGGAAGGCTTTTGGCCTGTCCAGTCATGAACAGAGAGAGTCATCTAGAAACCAAAGAAGCTGGCTGTATTAGTAAATAACTGTTTCTTCCCTTTTTTTTTTCATTTAACTAGACCTTTTTCTGTCTAATGCATATCCTCGTATCACTGAGACTAATGTTCTTGTGATCTGAGATAAATAGCAAACTTTTGTGCCTTGGGTCTCTTGCCATCATTTTGTGGGACTTTGGCTCATATGCTATGTTACCAGGAACTGTGTGTTCATTAACATGAAAGTTTCTTTTGTTGTCTTTTTTGTCTTCTGTGGTAAACGTTGTTCTTCCACCAGAAGTGGTAAAATGTGTGGGAAAGCTGAGGATTTTGATGTTGAAAGTAATTCTAGAGAAGTGGTAGCTAATGCTTCTGTTTCTACTTTCTTTCTCTGATTTCTAATCAGTAGGCTTTGTGCTAGGTCAAGGTAAAAGGCATTTATACTATAAGCTAGTAAACCCAGCCGTTAGGGAAGGATGGGGACACGCATCTCTTGAAGATGTCTCATCCTGCCCCATGTATGACCAGATCTGCACGTGCTGTGTGGTCAGGGTAGATTCATCGTCATCATATAACTTGCTGTTCATGTATAGTGATGCCCAACCATGCTGCACATGTTTGGGGCTTATAGGTTGAGCTGAAGGTTCCTCATGAAAGTGGTGGAGGGTAGAAAACCACAAATGAATTAATCTGGCTGTTAGTGTGCCAAGGACCACTAACGTCTTCTCCCCCTTGACCAGAATCGCAGAATGTCTTGTTGCTGTGGCACATCACAGAGACAGTACATTCATATTTGGTGGGTCTTCATTCAGCGTCTTGTACCTGGAAAACAAAAGCTGAGTAACTTGTAGACAGTGCAGTGGTGACTATATTCAACTTTACTCCATTTTAAATCAGTGTCCAAATAACTTGTATTTGCCATACTCTTAAGATCATTGTATTTAAGGTCATAAAGTATCAGCTAGCCTACTAAGTTTTATGTAGGCAAGAAACTTGACAAGAAGTTTTTTTTTAGACTTGCACAACTGACTTTTATTGCTTTGGGTAGTTTGTGTTTAGTCTGGGGTTCTGTGGGCTCACTATCCCTAAATCTTCAAACCCATTATGGATATGGATAGTCACGTTTCTAATTAGAGCTTTCTCTATATGGGCATCCCAGGTATATGTTGCAGTAAATTCTGCTTTTTAATACTTAGCTTTGGACAAGGTTGTGCTTGTAATTAGGAGTTGTTTTGGTTTTTTTTCAATTCCTCACCATTTGTAATCCTTGAGATGTGTTTGTATTCCAAGAATGATTTGTTTGGGTAATACTGGTTTGTCTGGGAAGGAATGCTGTGAATTCAATGTCTGATATTTCATAGTTGCACTGTTAGAGGAAAATCATCTAAGCACTGATTTTTATTTTGTTCAGAAAAGGATACTACTAATATTCTTAGATAAGACACGGATCTAAGAAAAAAAGTATCATAGGAATTACTTCCAATTCAGAAGCATGATAAACAAACTCAAGTCTATGTAGCCTACAGCCACAGAACTTCTGTATAATCTGATTTATTTTGTCATATTGCTCTGTGGAAGAATCTGTTTAAAATGACTAGGTTATAGGTTTTTTTTATAGGGCATTTAAACGTTCTAAGACCTAGGCAATGTTAAATAGTTGAGAAAATCTGGATGTTGTAATACTGTTTACTAATATATTTAAGCAATCATAAAGAAAATGGTTATTGAGTAGATGTTATAGGTAAACAACACATGGTGGTCTGTTTTAACTGGAAGCCCTAATGTAATGGTTGCTTCTGCTAATGAGAAGATAATCCCCCCCATACTTACCCTTTCTTGAAAAGATACAAATTATTGTTTGCTGTAGGCAGAATGAAGACAAGCTGTTCTGTATTTGCCTTGTAAATATTAATAACGGCATGTATCTGCTTCTGAAGTATGTGGGAGCCTTGCATTAATGTCAAAATGTATATATTCATCTGCAATTTTGCTTATTTGTTTGACTGTAACTGGGACTTTTCTTTTTTTTTCTTCAGGGAAACTGTATCAATCTGACCGATGCCTTGACTCTGTATGAAGAACAGCTCAGCAGGCTTTATTGTCCTGTGGAGTTTTCAAAAGAAACTGTGTGCGTTCCCTCCTACATGGAATTGTATCCTTAAAGACTGAAAAAGAGTGGAGAGTGTGTATTAATAACTCAAGCAAGCCTAGATTGCTTGGAGGTAATGAACTGAAGTGCAAGAAGGCAGTTCTAAATTAAACACTATTAACGCTTTTTCATAGTAAATGAACTACTGCGGTTTTATTTTGAGGATAATTGCAGGAATTATTTTTAAAGGTGCCATAAATTCACAGCTGGTGAAATGATCAGCACCTTTCAAGATCAGGCTGTGTTTTTGTTAATGTTTTTGAGTGTTTCCAAGTGTATTTATGTGATGTAGGATAAACTGTATGATGAGGGTACTGCCTGAGAGTTCTGGCAACGCTGTATCTTTATCCTTTTTTCTTTCACAAAAAACCCCAAACTAACTTCATACAGGTTAGCATGATCCTGATCTTTAAATATTCTCTGATAGATCTATTCTTGAACATACAGCTCAGACTGGATGCTTAACGGGGGGGAAAAGTGATTCCTAACAATCATTACTAGTTGGAATTTTTTTTTCCAGTAACTCTAAATAAAGGAGTATACACGTTTCTCAGCAACATCCCATTCCTAAAAATATTCTGTCAGAATTTCTTCATTTTGCGGGTGGCAGGCAAGTTATACAAGGAGTTAGAAGTTTCAGCTTCAAGCTATTAGCTGTAGAGGGGCATTTTGATCTGCTGTAGGGTGGTTCTGCTGGCTGCATTTCTCTGGCGTGTTTACCACTTTTGTGTGATCTCCCAGGAAGTGTTTCTGCAGGGTAATGCCTGCTGTGGCTGTCCCTCCCTTGACAGGAGAGATGTTTCCAGGATCTGCTTATGCATAATACGTTAAGCGTGTGAAACTGCCACAGCCTTTCTTCTGTTCTGTGTGTTCATCTTGCCTCCCTTCTCTGTCTCTAATCTTGATACTGTTTAATGCTGTAGCCTGCTGTTCTGGACTGTAACAAGCTCCTCCTGTTTCTCATTATTGTCAGCTCTCCGGTGAAACTCAGATTTGATCTTAACATTTTCAAGACAAAAAAGAGTGAAAGAGGATATGAAGATATTAGCCCTTGTAGCTTACAGTTTCAGAGAAACTAGTTAAGTTACTTTTGCTTTTACAACTGTCAGGCCTTAATGCGACGTGTATGTGATTTGAAGTATGCATCCTTAAAGTCTTCTAAATACTTACTGCATTGTTTATTTGGAAGTATGCAAATGTTTCTAAAAGAATTGAGTAGCAAATACCACTTCATTCCTTTGAAAAATACATTTTAAATGTTTCTAGTAAGCTAACAATATGAAATATTTTTAGCAAGAAATTTATTAAAACTGGCCATTAAATAGGTATAATGGAGCTTGAAAGTGAATAGTTCTTAGAGAAATGGGGCAGGCTTCATTAGTTTGCTTTTTCTGAATGAATTAATGATATAATGGTATAGGTACAGGAATGTTAAAGAAGTAGTCATCCTGATGACTTCAGATTAGCCCAGAGTAACTACTCTAACTTTTAATTTGGCCTTGGACTTCTGATAACCCTTTACCTGCATTTCGGGTGCAAGTTATTGCTTTTCTGCTTTTCTTGAAACTTAAAGATTTCCAAGTAGGAGTATGTATCTGAATGAAAGGTATACCTAAATGCTGTTTCACAGATGACTGAGAGATGTGATAGTTTACAGTAGAATTATGACAAGTAATCAAAAATTAGGGTTTTATTTCTTTCTGAAGAATGTGACACTTGTGACATTCATTTAAGTGCCTGAAATCTCTTGAGCCATTGAACAAATCTTTTCACTTATGCAAATGTTCGTTTTTGTAATCTGACCAAAAGTTACCTGCACGGGTGCCTGAATGCAGCCAAAGTACTAAGCTGGCTTATCACTTTTTATTGTTACTTGTTTTGCCTACTTCAAGAATTGTTGTTGTGTGTAATTGTTACTTGAAATTCTGGTGTTTACCGGCGTTGCTGTGGGGGTCATCTGAAATTCAAGTAGCTGTTGACATAAAAGCCAGCTCTCTAAGGAAAGCGTGTGTGTCTCTGAGGTCTCCACCAGGACCTTATGGTGAACATGGAGGCTCCCATCTGGAGCATGTGTGACCTCGCTGTGTAAACAGAAGAGCATATATCTCTGTGTGGCTTTACTAAGTCATAAATCCCAGAAATCTATGCCTTACTCTGCAGCTGTTGCTGTAGCTCTAAAAAAGGTGATGTTCATGTCTCATCCTCCTGTCTGCTTCTCTGGAAGCAGGTGGAATTACATAGCTCTGACCTCTCTCATGTGCCCAGCATGGCAAGAGAGCTCTTGAGTATCAGTTGTCTGTCCTGCCAGGAGTACCTCAGATCTGTGGTTTTAGCATAGCTTCTGTATGACTCTGCTGAAGCTGGGTCCATCTCACCTCAGAGGAGCAGCAAAAGAGCACTGATAGAGCTGCCAGTTGCTCTGTATTTGCTCCTAGCTCAGTCTGGGTGACATAAAGGTCTGCTTTCTGAAAAGTGTTTAGGTACCTAAGGCAAACACTGCAGAAGCTTTTAGAGAAAAGCCTAGGCAAAATTTAGATGCATTTAAGTGAGCATTCAACAGAACCCCTGTTGAGGCAGTTAAGATGCAGTAGACATTTAAATCTTTGCCCAGTAAGATACCTGGACACCTAGTGTTCAGCTACTGAACATCTCAGTATGAATTTTGTGTCTGATTGTGTCTGTGTTAGGGATTCACAAATTACGTAGCTGGATGTCTGTCTTATTCAAGCTTGCTACTTTACAATTGAGAAGATGAGCAAGAGCGATCCCAACTTGGTGAACTCCTGATCAAAGTTGGGACCACTATACCCAAAGCACTTCCGTAGTTTGTTCGGTGGTTGCAATGCAAAAAGAATGCACCACCTGAAGGTCTGCAGCAGGAATTAGAAAACACAGGTTTGCAAAGGATTTCAGTTTCAGTGGAAATGGGATGCTCTTTTGAGCTGCTGAGCCAAAAAGAGGATCCAGGGAGACTTCACTTCTGAGATTTTTACCTACCCCGTCTTTATGAGCTACCAGAAGCTTTCAGAATCAAAATATAAGTGAAAGAACTACTTCCATTTTAACTATGTACTACAAACTTTGCTTTTTTTTCCTTAACTGCTTATTTTCTCCAGATGGGTATTCTACACTATTTGGAAGAAACAAACTGACATCTGAACATCAAGAATATTTGAGATTATCCTAAATGTACATGCTGCATGGAGCATATAGGCCTGCCACGTGCTGCATATTGGCATCTTGAACCTTTAAATTATATGCTGTAGATGATCCTGAAACTTAGTCATGCTATTGATTGTGAATTCTTTAAATGTTTTTTATTATTATTTTAATTTAAAAGCAAATGGAAAATGTATATTTTGATGAGCTAGGGTGTTATTTTTGAAAGTCAACTGAAAGATGAATAAGCAGCAAAACTTTATAGCTTCTGAATGCACTGAACCTTTAGAATGTGATCCTTTTTATTTTTTTGTAGATCTTCACAAACTGATTGATTAAAAAAGACATCTTTAGCATTTCATCCCTGAAGGGTGGTCCATGGAGTTTGTTTTGGGTTTTTTGTTTTTCCACCAGATTTTTATCTGTGGTGCTTTTTAAGGGTGGAGGGGTTT